TTCTTTCATTCAGCATAATGCCTTCGAGATTCATCTGTTGCATGCATCGATAGTTCATGCCTTTTCATTTTATCGCTGAGTGATAGGCATTCCATCACGTGGATGAATGGCAGTTAGTTTATCCATTCATCCGTTAGGACAAATGGGCTGGTCCAGTTTTGGTTGTTTATGAATAGAGCTGCATAAGCATTTATGTGTACGGGTTTCTTGTGAGAACATAAGTTTTCATTTCTCTTGGGCAGGTGCTTAGGAGTGGGATTGCTGAGTCATACGTAAGTGTATGTTTCAGTTTTTAAAAGCTGTCAAGCCTCCTCCAGAGCAGCCAATCCATTCTGCATTTCCACCAGCAATTCCCGAGTTCTGGTAGTGCTGAGTCCTTACCAGTGCTTGCTAGTGCCAGTTTTTTTAACCCATTCTAAAATATATTCATTTTTTTTTATCTTTGCAATCCTCCCATTTTTTTTTTATCTTTGTAAATGCTATAGATGAATTAAAAAAGTCAATCCCAATATATACTGGCTGTTAATAATAGTATTAATTACTATTACTGTTAATAATACTAATAAGTAACTATCAATCTTATAGATGAAAAAGATTATTTATGATCTTTAAAAATTTTTGTTTTAATTGTTAGGAAAGTCAGAAGGGTTCAGTTTTAAACAGAGAGAGAAGCGAGTTCTCGCCTGAGGGTGTCTTTCATCTTGGGCTGTCTCTTTCTATTTCTGGGATCACTGGCAGCCCCTCCTTTCCTCAGCTCTTCCTGGAGGCATTTTCATTTCACTGAGGCCACAGATGGGAAAGAATGTCCAGCCTATTCTCTCTCTCCCTCTTTTGATTAAAAGGAGGGGGAGACAGAAGTGGAAAGGGCAATTATAGGCTGTAGTCTACACTATCCAAAGCCATCTATACATTCAATGAAATCCCTATCAAAATACCAATGACATTCTTTATATAGGCAGAAAAAACATAATCCTAAAACTTATGTGGAACCACAAAAGACCAAAATAGCCAGAGTTGTCCTGAGCAAAGGAACAATCCTGGAGGAATCGCACTACCTGACTTCAAATGGTGCTACAGGGCTATGGTCACCTGACTTCAAATCATGCTACGGTCACCGGAAGAGCATGGTACTGGTATAAAACAGACGCATAGACTGACAGAACACAACGGAGAACCCAGAAATAAGTCTAGACGTCTCCAGTGAACTCATTTTCAACAAAGGTGGCAAGAACAAACACTGGGGCAAGAACAGTCTCTTCAATAAATGGTGCTGGGAAAACTGGCTCTCCGTGTGTGGAGGAATGAGACTAGACCCCTATTGCTTTCTATCCACAGAAATCAAACCAAAATGGATTAAAGAAAAATGTAAGACCTCACACTATGAAGCTACTAAAGAAACATTGGGAAGGTTTCCCAGGACATGAGTCTGGGCAAAAATTTCTTGAGTAATACTCTAAAAGTATAGGCAACCAAAGCAAAAATGGACACATGGGATTATATCAAGTTATAAAGCTTCTGGCCTGGCTAGGTGGCTTATGCTTGTAATCCCAGCACTTTAAGGGGCCGAGGCAGGTGGACAGCTGAGGTCAGGAGTTTGAGATCAGCCTGGTCAACAGGGCAAAACTCTATCTCTACTAAAAATGCAAAAATAAGCCAGGTGTGGTTGTGCACGTTCGTAATCCCAGCTACTCAGGAGGCCGAGGCAGGAGAATCACTTGAACCTGGGAGACAGAGGTTGCAGTGAGCTGAGATTGCTGTGTTGTACTCCAGCCTGGACAAAAGAGTGAGACTCTGTCTCAAAAAAAGAGAAGCTTCTGTACAGCAAAGAAAACAGTCAGCAAAGTGGAGAGGTGAAGAGACAACGCACAGAATGGGAGAAAATATTTGCAAAGTATCCGTTTAACAAGGGATTAATAACCAGAATATATAAGGAACTTAACTCAAAAGGAAAAAATCTAGTAATTCAATTAAAAATGGGCAAAAGATGTGAATAGATGTTTCTCGGCCGGGCGCGGTGGCTCATGCCTGTAATCCTAGCACTTTGGGAGGCCGAGGTGGGTGGATCACCTGAGGTCAGGAGTTCAAGATGTTTCTCAAAAGAAAACATGCAAATGGCAAACAGGCTTATAAAAAGGTGCTCCACATCCTTGATCATCAGAGAAATACAAATCAAAACTACCGTGAGATATCATCTCACCCTAGTTAAAATGGTTTGTGTCCAAATGACAGGCAGTAACGAATGCTGGCAAGGATGTAGAGAAAAGGGAACCGTTGTACACTGTTGGTGGGAATGTAAATTAGTACAACTACTATAGAGAACAGCTTGGAGGTTCCTCAAGAAACTAAAAATAGAACTGCTATGGGACCCAGCAATCCGCCTCCTGGGTATATACCTGAAAGAAAGGAAATCAGTGTCTTGAAGGGGTATCTGCCCTCCCATGGTTATTGCAGCTCTATTCACAAGAGCCAAGATTGGGAAACAACCCAACTGGCCATCATCCGAGGAATGATAAAGAAAATGTGGTACCTATACACAACAGAGTACTATGCAGCCATAAAAAATGAGATCCTATCATTGTAAGAACATGGATTGAACTGGGGGTCATTACATTAAGCCAGGCACAGAAAGACAAACCTCACATGTTCTCACTTATTTGTAGGAGGTAAAAATTAAGTCAATTGAACTCATGGAGATAGACGGTAGAAGGATGGTTGCCAGAGGCTGAGAAGAGTAGTGGTGGTGTGTGGGGAGGGGAAGTGGGGATGGTTAATGAGTACCAAAATATAATTGAATGAATGATGTTCTGTCAATTGAATAATTGATAGAATGAATAAGGTCTCACATTAGGTAGCATAACAGGGTAACTAGTTTAATAATTTGATTATGCATTTAAAAATAAGAGTATAATTGGAATTTGTAACACAAAGAAATGATAAACGGTTGAGGTGATGATAGATACTCCATTTACCCTGATGTAATTATTACACATCATACCTATATAAAAATATCTCATGTGCCTCATAACTACATATACCTACTACATATGTACCCATAAAAGATTGTAGGCTGTGGTTGATCACATCATGGAGTCGTGTTCCTACATAGTGCTTAAAACTTCCACTAAGAATTATCATGCTCAATTCAGCTTGTTCCAGCTGAAGAAAAACAAGAGCATCAGCTAGGCTCCAGGTACCATGCTATACTCCCAAGACATAAACAAGGTGCTAGTCTTGTTTTCAAGAGGCTCCATTCTAGTGGAGACAGGCTGGGAAGGAGACACAGACAAAACCAGCCATGGGGGTTAAAGTGTCTTAACAAGATGACCCATGTGTCTGACCCAGGAAGAGAAGGAGACAGCTTTCAGAGGCCGGAGCTGAGCGCTGAGTAACTGTGGCTGCCCGAAATTATCTCTTCCTGTCCAGCACCGGCTCTCCTAACCTGAAAAACTGGTTCCATATCACATGTGGGTCCTGAGGACATTTAAAGAGGGCATTTTACAGCCGTTCAGGGAGCTCTGATGAGATCTGAAATGTTCCTTTAGTTCTGCAGCTATAAAATAACCTGCCAGCACAGAAATATACACGAACCATGCCTGGAAAAATGAATCTGGCTTTTGAAAGTGCTCAAATAGAAATCTGTTTACTGAGCAAAGCCGTCATTCTGGCTGACTTGCAGAAAATGGATAGCACCATTGTCCAAGACTCATGCTGTCTCCTGGCACATCAGAGACAGCCCTGGGGGACTTGATGTCTGAATTCATTTTCTTGGAGTTAAGGGACACTGCCCATGGGAACCTCAAACTGCACTGGTCCAAACATTGCGTCAATGCAGCATAAATACAAAGCCTAATTCATCTAGGAAAGCCACCTTCTCATCCTTTGGCAATGTGTCAGCATTCATGTAGGGGAGACTTTCCTTCCAGATTTGAACCTAATATAGAGCTTTAGTGGTAGTTCATAGTGAGTGCTTGAATCAGTCAGGAGACAAAAAAATCACACCTTTTAACAGACAGAATTTTATATAAAAGTTGTTGACTGGGTAGCAGAAAGGTGAAAGGAGAACTCTAAGGAATCATGGTGGTGGCACCTGCAGGAAATAGCTACTTCCCCTAGGGGTGAGGGAATAGAATGAAGAACAGAAAATTATTAAAATATAGAAGCTCAGAGGAGGGGCCCCATGGAGCTGGGACTCAGATATCTGAGCAAGGGCACATTGAAACTGGGTCTGGGGATACTATAAAACTACAAACCGTGGATACTGTAAAAACTACAAACTGGAAGTTCCTTCCAGTGCCTGGGTTATCACTGAGGAAGTGATGCAGACAGTAAGAGGAAGTATTCAGGAACAGGAGATAATCAGAAACAGGAAGTACTCAGGAACAGGAAGTATTCAGGAGCAGGAGGTACTCAGGAACAGGAAGAAGAGGGCTACTTTGCCTCCTCCAGGCTCACAGTCTCCCTTTACTGCCCCCCCTTGGTGGATCCCAACAGGGAGCAGCTGGCTGGGTGGAACAGTGGATGCAGAATCCTAGCCCTGGCATTCCAAAGCTGGGTAGAAAAGGGTAGGGTTGGATCTGAGAGATAATAGCTCAATAACTGGCAAATTGTTCAGTAGATATTTTTGTGTGACTGAATAATTTTACATGCAATAAAAGCCCAAGCTTTGACTTTCATTCAAAAATTTATTAACATTCCTAGGATTGCTTTCTAATTGGGGAATTCTCATTTGTGCCAGATTCTCTCTCTCTCTTTTCTTTCCTTTTCTCCCTCCTTCCCTCCCTCCTTCCCTCCCTCCCTCCCTCCCTCCCTCCCCTCCCTCCCTTCCTCCCTCCATCCCTCCCTTCCTTCCTCCCTCCTTCCCTCCCTCCCTTCCTTCCTCTCTCCTTCCCTCCCTCCCTCCCTCCCTCCTTCCCTCCCTCCCTCCCTCCCTTCCTTCTTTCTCTTTCTTTTTTTCTTTCTTCCTTTCTCCCTCCCTCCCTAACCACTGTTTGTTGTTCCTTTTCTTGCTTTGTTTCTTTCTGAAATTTGGCCTCAATGAATCTCCCGAGACAATTTAGCATCCTCAACGGTTTCCACTGCCTTGGTCTCTATGTTCTGACCCCTTTGTCTGTTCTGCGGGTTTCTGTGACAGTGACAGAATGTGACTGTTAGCACCTCTTGGTCCATGGAATCACAGACCAGGACTCAGAGCCCCAGACTTTGTATCCTTGGATAAAGCATATGACTTCTTTGAGCCTCACTTTTCATGAAGTGGGAATGAGAATATGGTCTTCGCCCATCAGACATAGATGTTATTAAGATAGAAATGAGACATAAGGCTGGGTGTCGTGGCTCACACCTGTAATCCCAACACTTTGAGAAGCCAAGGTGGGATAATTGCTGGAGGCCATGAGTTCAAGACTAGCCTTGGCAACAAAGCAAGACCCCATCTCTACAAAAAATTAAAAACTTAGCTGGGTGTTGTGGCATGCACATGTAGTTCAGCTACTTAGGAAGCCGAGGTGGGAGGAACTCCTGTTTTTGGGATTTGAGGTTGCAATGGGCTGTGATCACACCATTGTACTCACCCAGGTGACAGAGTGAGACCCTGTCTCTAAATTTTAAAAAGTGAGATATAAGATGAATAAGTGATTAAAAGCTTTTTATAGGTTAAGTTTGCTGATCGAACAAGTATGTCTGCATTTTTCTCCTCTTGTATCCCCACTGGAATAATAACAAGGAATGGATTGTTTTGAAAAAGGCAAAACCCACTACAATGGAAAAAATGGGAGAAGAAATGACAACACAGTTTGGGAGTCAGAATACAGATGGATGAGCGGTAACTGAAAGCTCAGAAGGCCATGGTGGGAAAAATCACAAAATAGCAGATGTGTGCTGCAAATTCCACAAACCTCAGGAACGAGAGACAGCAGCTACCTCTGAAATGGAGGGTAAGGCAGAAAGACCGAAATAAGGAGTTTTGGTTTAATAAGCACTCAGATCTCTCTATCTTCACTTGCTGTGTCAGCCAGGCCACTGCCCACCCCTCTTGGCAAAGACTGGCTGGAGAGGGTAAGACACGGTCTCTGGACACCTGGGCTGTGCACTGCAGCAGCATGATGAGGGGCAGCTGGATGCTGACGGGTCTCAGCCCATTTTCCTGACTTGGCTCCCGGGACGCTGCAGTCAGTCTTCACCTTCCAGTCAGGAGACCTGGAGTCTGTCCAGCTGAAGAAGAAAGAGTTAAAGGCACCGAAATCAGCCCTCTCAGCTGGAGTCTGCTACAGTGGAGCTGCAGATGCCGAGTGCAGTGCTTGTGCTCTGATCTTCCATTAGCATTTAGTTCCTTACTCTGAAATGCTAGCAGAGAACTGAGTTACTCATGGGATTCATTTCCTATGGCTACTGTAAATCACCACCAACCTGGGGCTTCAAACAACACACATTTATTCTGTTGCAGGCCTGGAGGCTAGAAGTCTGAAATCAATTTCACTGGGTCAAGTCAAGGCATTGGCCTGGCAAATATGTTCCCTTACCTTATCCAGCTTCTTGAGGTGCTTAGATTTCTTGGCTTATGGCCCCTTTACTCCAATTTCTGCTTCTGTTGTCACGTGGCTTTCTGTCTCTGTTGATCTTGCCTCCTTTTAAGGTCCCTGTGATTACATTTAAGGCTCATTGAGACAATGCAGGATAAGCTCATCTCAAGATCCTTAATTTGATCTGAAAAGTTCCTTTTATATACAGGTCCTCGAGATTAGGGCATAGATATCTTTGGGGAGCTGATTATTCAGCGTATCACAATTGTCTTATGATAATCAGGATTTCCTTGAGAGAAGTAAGCCTAAGACCTCCGGACATATGTAGAATCATATACCATTATGTACCATTTTGAAAGGGCAGGATTAAGAACATAGTCACAAATAATTTTCTATGATCTGTGGTTCAAAAGAAGAACCTGGTTGAGAAAGATTGACTTAGAATAAAAAAAGGTCAAAGTAATCAGACAGAGGAAGCATAGAATAGTTAGGAAGAAGACACTCTATAGACTACTAATACTTTATGGCAGTGGTCCCCAACCTTTCTGACACCAGGGACTGGTTTCCTGGAAGACAATTTTTCCACGGATGGGAGTTGAGGGGGTTGGGGGCGGGGATGGTTTTGGGATAAAACTGTTCCACTTCAGATCATCAGGCATTAGATTCTGACAAGGAACGCACAACCTAGATCCCTCGGTTCATGCTCCTATGAGAATCTAATGCCACGGGTGATCTGACAGGAGGCGGAGCTCTGGCGGTTATGTTCATTCACCTGCCACTCACCTTCTGCTGTGTGGCCCAGTTCATAACAGGCCACGGACTGGTACCGGTTTGCAGCCCAGAGGTTAGGGACCCCTGCTTTAGGGAGATAAGAAAATAAACCACAATAATCAGAAGAGAACAAGATGTTATGAAAAACATTCAGAGAATACAAATCAACTGTTGGAAATGAAGATAATATAGCAGCAAAGAAAACCTCAAAATAAGTTTCCAGATAAAGTTGAGGAATTCTTACAAGAAATAGAGCCAAGAGAAAAAGAGATTGAAACTAGGAGAGAAAAATAAATTAGAGAATGAGTCTAAGAGACCCAACATTTGATTAATAGAAGTGACAGAAATAGGATTAAAGAAAACATAAGGGATGAAATAATCAATGGGAAAAATTAGAAAACTTTCCAAGTTTTTTAGAACGTAAGTTTTCAGATTGGAAGGGCCCCCCAGATTTCTAGCATAATGGGTGAAAATAGGCCCATGACAAGGTATGTCATCACTGGGGTCAAAAGGAAGAGGCATATCTATCTACATCTAAAGATCTACTAATATCTACACCTACGTCATCTATATCTATATCTAGAGAGAGATTTATAAAGAACCTATAATTAGGAAGGCTTTGAAGTTCTCAATGCCAACTAGAAGCCAGTGAAACATGCTTACAAACTAGTGAATAAAAATGATCTCCAACTAGAACTCTACTCTCAGATGAACCAACTGAGAGTAGATAAAAGACATTTGCTTATAAGCAAGGTCTCCAAAAGCTATTCAAGGATGTGTTCCATCAAAATTAGAGTAAATCCAAAAATAGGAAGACAAGAGGCATAGGAATGAGACGATCCAACACAGGAGGTTACTGAGTGACAGCAGCCTCTGGAAAAGACCTGTTGCATTTGGCTGTGCACGATGTACACTGCTCAACTTCTGGGCATGCCATTCTTTTCATTTTCTCTGTGGGTGACATAGAAATAGAGAGTAATCAGGACAATTTAGAACCCCTCTGAAGGCTTCTGGGGAGACTTCCTTAGGAAATTAAAATCAATAGAAAGCCTCATGCATTAAGAAGCAATGTAGACAATTGATAGCGTTTGTGATTGAATGAATGATAAATTTACAGAAATCTAAGCAAATCAAAAGAAAGCAATTATTAACTTTGGAATATTAATATCTATAAAAATTAAATCATAATAACCTCTGAGGAGTATTTACATAGTCATAATAGTTTAAACACTGATGATTTATCTCTAACTACAAATTTTGAAATAATTAAGTTGGGAGAGCCAGGGTTATGGGAAAGTAGCATGTGCATGCAGAGGGGTGAGATGAAAATCAAGATGTAGCAATAGAAGGCACATTCTAAAATAATCAGTTAGGATCTGCGAAGGGAGCAGATACGTTGGGGCTATGACGTTTTATAGCAAAACTTGAATTGTTAGGCTCTGTAAACTGCAAGTATTTGCAACTTTGCTAAAAAAATAGAAACTAGTAAAAGTTTTAAAAGTTCTTTCAACTCTGGGCAAGTCATTTAATCTCTCTTCACCTCGATTTTATCTGGGTGAGTGTGCATAGGGGCACGTGTGCACCACATCTGGCACAGCTGTAGTGCACCACATCTGGCACAGCTGTAGTGCACAGTGAAGGCTACTGTTCCACATGTCATCAGCATCACTGAGTTGATGTTACTGCCATAGAGCTTGCTATGCACAGAGTTGGTGTTTGAGTCGGAGCAGGAAAACGGAGTCCCTGGTACACATCATTTAATTACCTTACCTGCACCTGTGTTCCCCTTTCACTTCTGGCTTGCCAGGAATTGCTCACACCGACACTGGCCCACTTGTCCCATGTAACTAATGTTTATGGTTTCTTTTGAATAAACATATAAATTGACACTCCTAGTCTTATAACTTGAGAAAGTTACATTTGTCTTACCAGAGTTTCTTTCTCAGAAAACCAATAATCAGGCCTCCCAGATTATATCAAGGACCTGAAACTCATCAGATCACTGCATCTGGACAATGAGATGCCAGACCCCTGCCTGTCACGACTGCTTAACTAGCCACCTGTGTTCTGTGGACCAATTCCTCTTCTGTACCCTCCCTAATTCCTGTTTTCCCACCCGTGGTTACATTTCTTCCCTGCTGTATAAATTTCGAATTTAAGTCAGTCGAGGAGATGGATTTGAGACTGATTTTCCATTTCCTCAGCTGCAGCACTGAATTAAAGCCTTCTTAACCAGCAATATTTGTCTCAGTGACTAGCTTTCTGTGCTGCGAGCAATGGGACTTAGACCAAAACTCTGGTGTTTTGGTAACGTCAGCAGGAGAGGTTACGTCCAGGTGTGCATGATGGCTGAGGCCAGAGTTGGGGGTCTTGTCCATTCCCGTGGCTGGGCAAAGAAGAAGCTTTCTGGTCTTGGAGATGATGCAAATCTTCCACTCTTGGAGAAAGATTAGAGATAACCTGTGTGGAAGCAATGGTGCCTGGACACCAAGGCAACACAGCTTTGTTCAGCCAACAATGACAACCAGGAAGTGGGTCATTTCTAGCCTGAGAACAGCTGGCAGCAGCCTGATTTCCTGGTGGGCAGGGAAACTGGACCTGCCTGAGCTCATTCCTGGTGCTGAGGTCTGGAGATGCAGAGATTGTTCTGGAAGCTCTTTTAGAAATGTGGGTTCCTAAGGGTGTGTCGAAGATCATCTCCCCGGGTCCAGACCAGCAAGGGCTCTAGACTTTTGTTCATTCTCCTAATCAGACTCCAGGAGCCACAACAGCGGAGAAAGGAAGACTTGTTTTAGGTAGAGCAAGCTCTACGACTGTGTATGAAGGAGGACCACACTTCCCCTCTCGTTCTCTCACCATCTGGAAAGCTGGTGATTATCTCCCATCATCATCTCTCATTCTTATCTTTGTGTGTCTTTAAATAACCACGTTATATTGTGAAGGAGTGTAAGCAACATGGGTTCAAAATTTTGAAGCCTGAAGACCGGATTCAAGAATAGCCCATGTTATCCCCGGATGTGTGATTCTGTGTAATTTCATCTCTCTGAGTTTTCATTTCCTCATCTATGGCGTAGGGTAACAATGGTGTCCCTAGATATCGCAAAATGTTTGATACAGCTTAACTAAAAGGTTTGACAAAGGGAAATTGGTACAGCGTAGGCCAGAACTGCTTCGTAAGGAGCTGAGAGTCAGGAAGGAAACCAGCATTTATAGAGGGCCCACCCAGTAGCAGGTGCACGGTAGCTATGGTGGTACCTGCCCTTGTGTATATTCTCCTCTTCACATTGATGTGGTGCTGTAGGTGTCAGGACTTTTTCTATGGAACAACAAACTCAAGGTGGCAGGGAGAATAACTGTCTAAGTGACCAGTGAGTGAATGTGTGAACGAGGTCCTTAGAATGTCACTGGCTGGGTGCTGGGGCTTCGGCAATGAACAAGCCATTACATCCCACTGGTGGGAAATGAAAAATGAAGAAGTGAGTAAGTAAACCTGACTACTATAGAAAAAATACTGTGCAAAAATAAGAAGTGACGCGGCAGCAAGTACCTCTACGATGGGGCCATCTCACACTAAGGGTTAAGGAAGAGGCTTTCTGAGGAGGTGACCTTAGTATTGAGACCTGAACAACAAAAAGAACTGGCCACGTGAGGGTCATGGGGAAAGGCGCCCCGGGACCCAGGAAGAGCAACTGCAAACTCTCCGAGGGGCATCGAGGAGTGTGCATGTGAGGGGCAGAGAAAACCAGCACAGCCGCCACAGCATGAGCCAGAGACAGGGAGATGATGTTGTAGCTGAGGATACAGAGCTTAGAGGGGCCTTCCTGGGCCTGAAAGGTCACGGCAAGGAGACTGAGGTTCATTTGGGGTTTATTGGGAGGACACTGGACAGGCGTGGGCGGGGCTTGCTCTGTCTGCTTTGCTTTCTTGGTGTGGCCATTGTTACAGCGTATTGTGTTGGCGGCTCCCCAGAATTTGTTTCCATTAACAGCAAGCTGGTGGGGGAAATTGCACAGTTGAGGGGGGTCCCCCTTCCAACTGGGGTTCCAGCACTTGCCTGCCACCCCTAGCCAACTTTACGCATTGGGTTTGGCTTTGGGGTGGGGGTGGCTGTAGGGAAAGGAAGAGTCAGGGCAAAACCCCTAATGCCAAAAGAAGTTCTTGTCTTCCATGCCAATGTGAACCAACCATCAAAGCAGGGAGCTGGTGATCACCAACGAAGGTGGTCCTGAAAAATCTTTGCCAATAAGCACCAACAAGCACTACCAAGCACCAGCACGCACCAAGCACCAGCACACACACTACCAGGCACCAACAAACACCAGCACACACCAAGCACCATCAAGCACCAGCACGCACCAACGAGCACCAAGTACAAGCACCCACCAAGCATTAGCACCCACCAAGCACCAGCACACACCAACAAGCACCAACTACAAGCACCCAAAAAGCACCAGCACCCACCAAGCACCAGCACTCACCAACAAGCACCAAGTACAAGCACCCAACAAGCACTAGCACCCACCAAGCACCAGCACGCACCAACAAGCACCAAGTACAAGCACCCAACAAGCACTAGCACCCACCAAGCACCAGCACACATCAACAAGCACCAAGTACAAGCACCCACCAAGCATTAGCACCCACCAAGCACCAGCACACACCAACAAGCACCAACTACAAGCACCCAAAAAGCACCAGCACCCACCAAGCACCAGCACTCACCAACAAGCACCAAGTACAAGCACCCAACAAGCACTAGCACCCACCAAGCACCAGCACGCACCAACAAGCACCAAGTACAAGCACCCAACAAGCACTAGCACCCACCAAGCACCAGCACACATCAACAAGCACCAATTACAAGCACCCACCAAGCAGCAGCACCCACCAAGCACCAGCACACACCAACAAGCACCAAGTACAAGCACCCACCAAGCACTAGCACCCACCAAGCACCAGCACACACCAACAAGCAAGCACACCAAGCACCAACAAACACCAAATCAGACAGCCAAGCAGGTCTGTTGTTGTAAATGAAGACCCTCTACCCTTCTACCAGCTGAGGTGGGATATTTTTGGCCAATAACAGACACATGAAATTTCAGGACCTTCTCAAAAAATACTTGCATTGATCTACCTCTGAAGACCAATAAATAAAAAGTATAACAAAATATTAGCTTGGCATGGTGGTTCATGCCTGCAATCTCAACATTTTGGGAAGCCAAGGTGGGAGGATGGCTTCAGCCCAGGAGTTTGAGACCAGCCTGGACAATGTGATGAGACCCCATTGCTACAGAAAAATTAAAAATTTAGCTGGGTATGATGGCATGCACCTGTGGTCTCTGCTACTTTGGAGGCTGAGGTGGGAGGACTGCTTGATCCCAGAGGTCAAGGCTGCAGTGAGCCGTGATTTCGCCACTGCACGATCACGGCTCACTGTACTCCAGTTTGGGTGACAGAGTGAGACCCTGTTTCTAAAAAAAAAAAAGAAAGAAATAAAAGAAAAATATTAATTAAAAACATTTTTGCATAGTATTTGGTAAAATATGTATTCCTATGTAATAATTGACACATGTAAAAAACACTAATATATTTCACTTTGAATTTATGAAGGATTGTATTAAAATAAACACTGAAGTCACCATCTATCTTGAGAAAGTGTACATTACTGAAACTGTTGAAATAACTGTAAGTATCTCCCCGACTTTATTCACTTACCTTTCCTGGAAGGTAGCCACTACAGTATATTATTTGGAAGTACAAAATTTCTTTTTCCTTTCCTAAAGAGTTTCCTTCCACATTTTTGTTCTGAAAAGTGTTAAATCTACAGAAAGTTGCAAAATAGCACAATAGACACCTATTTACTCCTCATTGAGATTAACCAATTGTTAACATTTTGCTCAATTTGTGCTTAGTCTATCAATCATCTATCAATCATCTATCTATTAATCATTTAGCTATCAATCATCTATCTATTAATCATCTAGCTATCTATCAATCATCTATCTATTAATCATCTATCTATCAATCATCTATCTATCTGTCATCTTTTTTGAACCCATTTGAGATGCAGTTATGCACACTTAACCTTTGATCTGCAGATGCTCGAAGACCAAGGATCTTTGCTTACATCAAAATCAGGAAAGTTTGCACAGGAAAAACACTATTGTGCAACATGCCATATATTCAAATTTCCCCAATTGTCCCAGTGTGTTTGCTTTATAACCATTTTCCTGTGTGTTTGCTCCAAGATCCAGCCCATGTCCACACATTGCATTAGCTGTCCTATCTCTTTAGCCTCCTCTACTCTAGAACAGTTCCTCAGCCCTCTCTTCCCCCATGACATGGTCAATTTTGAAAACCCCAGGCTGTTATTTTTGGAATGTCCTTCATTTTGGATTTGTCCCATTGTTTCTTCATGAGGAGATTCAGACTAATAAAAAATCAGGAGGAGGATTCAAGATGGTGCGGTAAGAACAACTCAGGATTGCAGCTCTCAGTGAACGCTCAGAGGGTGAGTCAAAGCCACATTTCCAGACGGATCTTTGTTGCCCACAGAACGGGGAAAATCCCAGGTGTAGGAGAGACACGGGACGCAGGCATAGCCGTTTTGGCTGTTGCGGCCACTTAGCTGGCACTGCAGCACAGCGGCACTCCACAACACTCTGCACAAAACACACTGGCCCGGGTGCCCTGCTAAACAGGCAACCTGAGATTTGGGAGGGCAGGTTAGCATATCCATCTGATTAAACGGGACTTGGACAGTGAGCCAGACCAGGAGATTCCTGGGAAGTGGCATTTGAGCCAGCGCAGTGGCTCACTGCACGGGAAATCACACAGATCCCAGTGCCCTAACAGCGGGCAACTGAAACACCTGGGAGAGAGCCATCTGTTCAACTCAAAAAAACAAACAAAAAAAAGGCGCTCTGAGGCAGGGAGCCAGGCGAGCAGGCTTGGTGGGTTTCACCCCCACAGGGACAAACAAAAGGGCAATTCAAAACACTCCAGGTGGAGAGTTTCACTGCAGGCACAGCTGAACCCAGGACGGTGCAGCTAGGTGGGGGAGGGGTGTCCACCATTACCGAGGCAATCCACCCCTACTGAGGTACACTCCCATTGCTGATGCAGCCTGCCATTGCCGAGGCAACCCGCCATAACAGAGAGACTCCACTGCATGGCGGAGCCCGTAGTAGCATGGTGGACCCCACATCAGCAGGGCAGAGCCTCGGCAGCAAATAGTGACTAGACTGCCTCCTAGCTGGGCAGGACAGTGCAACAGACACTCATAAAGAAAGCCCCAACCCCCCAAGACAGAGCATCTGAGGAAAAAAAGGAGTTTTAAGAGTTCTGCTGCAGCAGACTTAAATGCAGCAGCCTAACAGCCCTGAATGAACAACGGAGCTAACAGCACAGCACTTGAGCTCCTATAAAGTACAGACTGTCTCCTCAAGCAGCTCCCTGACCCCTGTATATCCAGAATCACCTCAAAAAGGACTGATCAGACTGACATTTGGCAGGCATCATTCTGGGACAAAGATAGCAGCAGAAGAAACTGGTAGCATCCCTACTGTTCCACAGCTGCTACAGGTGTACCCCAGACAAGCAGGGCCTGGAGTGGACCTCAGCAGTTGTACAGAAGAGGTGCTAGACTGGTAGAAGGAAAACCAAATAACATAAATACCTCATCATCAACAATCTGGGCGTCCACTTAGAGACCCAATCAAAAAGTCAGCAACTACTCAGACGACAGGTGGATAAATCCACAAAGATGGGAAGAAACCAGCCCAAAAAGGAGGAAAACACCCAAAACCAGAACACCTTGCCTCCTACAAAGGACCAAAACTCCTCGCCAGCAAGGGAACAAAGCTGGACGGAGAATGACTGTGACAAAATGACGAAATTAGACTTCAGAAGGTGGGTAATGAGAAACTTCTGTGAGCTAAAAGAACATGTTCTAAATCAATGCAGAGAAACTAAGAACCTTGAAAAAAGATTTGAAAAAAGATTCAAGGAAATGATAACAAGAATGGATAACTTAGAGAGGAATATGAATGAATTGAAGGAGCTGAAAAACACAACACGAGAACTTCGCGAAGCATGCACAAGTTTCAACAGCCAAATTGACCAAGCAGAAGAAAGAATATCAGAAGTCGAAGATCAACTCAATGAAATAAAATGAGAAACCAAGATTAGAGGAAAAACTGCAAAAGGAATGAACAAAGTCTTCAAGACATGTGGGACTATGTGAAGAGACCTAACATATGTTTGATAGGTGTACCAGAAGGGGACGAAGCGAACGAATTCAAGCTGGAAAATACTCTTCAGGATATTATCCAGGAAAATTTCCCCAACCTAGCAAGGCAGGCCAACACTCAAATTCAGGAAATACAGAGAACACCACAAAGATACTCCTCAAGAAGAGCAACACCAAGGCACATAATCGTTAGATTCACCAGGGTTGAAATGAAGGAGAAATTACTAAGGGCAGCCAGAGAGAAAGGTTGGGTCACCCACTAAGGGAAGCCCATCAGACTCACAGCAGATCTCTTGGCAGAAACTCTACAAGCAAGAAGAGAATGGGGGCCAATATTGAACATCCTTAAAGAAAAGAACTTTCAACCCAGAATTTCACATCCAGCCAAACTGAGCTTCAGAAGTGAAGGAAAAATAAAATCCTTTGTGAACAAGCAAGTACTCAGAGATTTTGTCACCACCAGGCCTGCTTTACAAGAGCTCCTGAAAGAGGCACTACACATAGAAAGGAACAACCAGTACCAGCCATTCCAAAAACACACTAAATGCTAAAGAGCATCAACAAAATGAAGAATCTTCATCAACTAACGGGCAAAACAGCCAGCTAGCATCAAAATGGCAGTATCAAATTCACACATAACAATATTAATCCGGGGGAGGACTCAAGATGGCGCTGTGAGAACAACCCAGGATTGGAGCTCTTCTCGTTGAATCCGCAAATGGTGAGTCAGAGCGGCATTTCCAGACTGATCTTTGTTGCCCACAGGACGGGGAAACTCCCAAGTATAAAAAAGACACGGGACGCCAGGCAGTAGGTCTGCCTGGCAAAGCCAGCAGCCGGGGCGGTGGCGGCCGGCCCTACCCAGCAATCCCCACAGGGCGCGCTTGTCCGGGTGCCCTGTTGAACCGGCAACGTGAGACTTGAGAGGGCTGGACTTGAGACTGAACGAGACTTGGACAATAGGCCAGCCCAGGGGATTGCAGGGATTGGGATACCCAGTGGGACGAACAACCCGTCCCTACTGAGATACACGCCCACTGCTGACGCAGCCTGCCGTTGCTGAGGCAACACGCTACAACTAAGAGACTCCACCGCAGGGCGTGGCGGAGACCACAGCAGAGCCGGCAGGAACAGCGCGAATCACACAACAGCAGGGCGGAGCCTCGGCAGCCAAACAGTGGCTAGTCTGCCTTCTAGCTGCGCAGGACACCTGATCGGACATCCAAAAATAAAGCCCAAACCCCTCAACACAGAGCATTTGAGAAAAAAAAAAAAGGGGTTTTTAATGAGCTCTGTTGCAGCAGAATCAAACATAGCAGCCTAACAGCCCTGAATGAACAACAGAGTGCACAGCTCAGCAATTAAACCCCTATAAAGTACAAACTGTCTCCTCAAGCAGCTCCCTGACCCCTCTATATCCAAAAGACTGACATTAGGCAGGCATCATCCTGGGACAAAGAGAGCAGAAAAAGAAACTGGTAGCATCCCTTGCTGTGCCACAGCTACTAGAGGTGCACCCCAGACAAGCAGGGTCTGGAGCGGACCTCAGCAATCGTACAGCGAAGGGGCTAGACTGGTAGAAGGAAAACCAAGCAACAGAAATACTTCATCATCAACATTCTGGGTGTCCACTCAGAGACCCAAACGAAAAGTCAGCAACTACGCAGACGACCAGCGGACAAATCCACAAAGATGGGAAGAAACCAGCGCAAAAAGGAGGAAAACACCCGAAACCAGAACACCTCGCCTCCTACAAAGGACCAAAACTCCTCACTAGCAAGGGAGCAAAGCTGGACGGAGAATGACTGTGATGAAATGACGGAATTAGACTTCAGAAGATGGATAATGAGAAACTTTTGTGAGCTAAAAGATCATGTATTAAATCAATGCAAAGAAACTAAGAACCTTGAAAAAAGATTTGAAAAAAGATTCGAGGAAATGATAACAAGAATGGATACCTTAGAGAGGAATATGAATGAATTAAAGGAGCTGAAAAACACAATACGAGAACTTCGCGAAGCAAACACAAGTTTCAATAGCCCAATTGACCAAGCAGAAGAAAGAATATCTGAAGTCGAAGACCAACTCAATGAAATAAAACGAGAAACCAAGATCAGAGAAAAAAGCGCAAAAAGGAATGAAAAAAGTCTCCAAGAAATGTGGGACTATGTGAAAAGACCTAACCTACGTTTGATAGGTGTACCAGAAGGGGACGAAGAGAATGAATCCCAGCTGGAAAATACTCTTCAGGACATCATCCA